ACTGGTGGAGGCCCAACTTCTTCAAGGAGAGAACCGGGACGCCGTCTCGAAGTACCAATAAAGGAAGGTGACGTTCGAGCCAGCTGACTCAGTGTGGGTGTATCAGTACTTCCACAAGTCTCGCGACCCCAATGACACGCGGGTGAAGAAGTTCTCGTATCATTGGCATGGACCGTACCGGGTTTTGGCGCGCCAAGGTGAAAATACTTACCGCGTATACTGTACCTGCCAACCCATCCGAATCGAGTGGTACCTACCGACTCAAGAAGTATAGAGGACAATGGACGCGTCCTTTCAACCATGATATACCGAACGGTTAAGACGGGAGTCGAGTGACGAAGATATAGTCCTGGACGACAAGTTACTCCCGGACGACAGTCAGATTGAACGTGTGGAGTTTCAAGACGGAGACGTGGCGTTCTCCAACTCGTTGTCTGCTGTCACGGCAGTCCTGGATCGTCGCTACGGGACTCCTCATGAACGCGAATACTTGGTGGAGTACACCGACGGACTGGTCGACTGGGTGCCCGAGTCAAATCTGAGAGACTACCGCTCTTTTGTCGACGAGTACGAGAACCGTGCCCGGGAAAAGGCCAGACTACTTGTGCTACGGCGCAGTCCTCGTCTGTCCCATCTCGACGAGGAGGCTGAAGTACGAGAGTACTAAGGCCCAACTTCGCGCCTGCCGATGATGGCGGGAGGCAATGAAATACATGTTTGCATATGTGCATGAAGAAAGGAAGGATCAAGAAATGTATTAGCTCGTCCTATGCTATCAAGTCTGTCGAAGTCCAATTACGAAGCGGTGCGGGCTGCCGAGCGATCACGCCGAAGGCCTCTAGTCGTCCTTGGTCTCGTCATCAACTGGCGTCTGAGTGGCTCCGGGAGACGGCGAGAGTCCATGCGTCCTCTGAAAGTTCGGTTGACGGGGGCGCGGGTCTGCATCGATGGCTGGGAGACCAGACCGGTTTCTACATGAACGCGTTCGCGACGTCCAAGATCTTGATGCCGGCTTCGTTGACGGTGGCGACGTGAAACGTTGCAATTGGTACGCCCGGATGCCCTTCGTCAAGAGCTCGTCGGCAGACATCACAGGAGACCACCAACGGCTGCCGTCGGCCCTCACCGATGGGACTTCAGGCCACGACTGCGATCTTTGTTGGTCAAGTATGAGATGACTGCGGGTGCGCCGCGGTGCTTCCCCATCAGCGTCAAGGATACACAAGTGCGGAGAGCAGCCGGCCAGTACGAATGAGGATAACACAAGAAATGCACCTGGCCTGGCCGTCACCTCGGTACAAGCAATGCACGCAGCTCCATGGCGTGACGATCGATCAACGCCTCGACGTACGCCGGCGTGTACAGCTGATCATTAACGGGATGTCGGGTCTGCTCTGTGACCTGAAACGGAGCCGCAGTCGATTCGTGTGCCCGTCTCTGTCTCGCCGCCAGGCGCAACGCCCGGGCCTTGAGGACTGCTTCTTCTTGTTCCAAGTCGGCACGACGGTGCGTGAATTCAAGGTCTTGCTGCACGGACGTCCGGGCGGCGATCTCAACTTGGCGCTCCAAGAAGTTGTTCTTCGGGAGCCGCATTTGGACGTGGGCCTCGCTTTACCGCAACATGTCCGCCAGGCCGTCGCGCTCAATGCTCACGGCCTCCAAGGCGTCTGGCCGAACCCCAGCGTCCGTCGAGACCGAGAAACGGTCCACTGATGCGTCCTCCTCCGCCGAAGGCGCGGCGACGGCAGGGTTCGACACGCCGAGGTATCCAAATCCGATGGATCGGCATGATTGTGCGCTAGACCTGAAGCGTACGACGCGAACAGCCTCTTCAAACGAGGCTGAATAGACACGGAATAACTGTGTACGTGCCGGACCGTGGATGAGTCCGGCCATGAAGACGTTAACGCGGAGCGCTTCCGGTAGCGTGGAGTCGTCGTTGACATTCGCGGCAAAAAGCGAGGTCGTGAATGTAGTCTTGCAAGGAGCGTTTGCCTTGCTTGCATGCGAGGAACTTAAAGCGATATTGGAAATCGCTGTGTTTGGGAAGGAAGCGGAGCTTCATCGCCGCAACGAGCTCGTCAAACGTTGCAAATGACGTGGGGTTGGTCAGGCGGATGGAGTACGCCCAGTCTTCCGCCTGACCCATGAGATCGGTAAGGGCAAACGCCACACGTGTAAGCTCACCGGTGATGCACAGCGCATTGGACGCGGTCTCGACTTGCAGGATCCACCGGAGGAGCTTGCCGGCGTCGGAGCTGATCTTGGTGACATCAAGCTTCACTCGCTTGACACCTGTAGGGGGGGGTTGTTGGAGCTGGCTGCTTGCAGTCGCACCTGTTGGTACACGCGGAGAATCTGTGCCTGTGTATCCTGAAGAGACTGGCGCTGCTGGGACACAGAGGATTCCAGTGTGGAACTTCGGTCGCGAAGTTGTACGACCTCGCCTTGCAGGGCGAAACCATGTTCGCACATTGTTTTGGCTTGGTGCTCGCTCTGGTGGAGCGATTCTCCGAGGGCTCGACCTTCTTCGGTCAGCTGGCTGATGCGAGCTTCGAGGGGATGTGTCATTGCGTTGAGGGTGATACCGATGCCTTCAAGCAGCCGCACTCGGGTATCGACGGAGAGAGGAGACAAGAGCGACTGGGTGTCGTCGTCGCCGAGGATGTCGACCATGCGGTCGTATACCGCTTGGTGCGAAGCTGTCAAGGTCCTTGGACAAACTTTTGGACGAACTTGTAGTGCTACCAGGTGTAGCAGGGCAACGCAGAGGAAGGAGTATGTAATATGAAGGATGGATTGGCAGGGTTATGGTATCTAGCTCTGCTACATGAACATGGAAAGTTAAGGCGATTCGTGGGTAGAGTCGCTAGCAACCCAGGCGACTAGTTGTGAGGTCGCCTGCAACCTTTGGATGGTCATCTTCAATGTCAATGAAGATCTTTGACATGTGTCCGAATAACAGTACCGTAGAATTGTTACACCGATGCTCCCAGGGATATGGGTGCTTGAGGAACGCAGGAACCCGAAGGACCCTCGGTGCCGGACTTTGGGCTCGAGGGAGCTGATCGCGTTGCTGTCGTGGACGCATACGTTAAACGCGTAACCATCGCCGCAATGCAAGTCGGAGAATGCCGCATTTTATCCGAACACCCAAGACGACAAGTCAAGAATTGAAGTCGAACGTAAGGCCGGCACATCTTTGTCTACGATTACTTGACTAGGGCAAATCTGGGCCGCCTACCAATGAAGTCAAATTTCTGCCTGTTCAAACTCTGCACCATTTGACCTCAAACCCAAAGACTGTGTAATCAACCAGAATCACACCAGTATTCAAATTCACAAAACACACCTGGAAGTCACAACATGATTAGTTAGTCATAGGATGATTGTCGTGAAACATATATTTCAGTCAGTAACTCACCACTCAATCAAGAATTAGTTGATCAAGTGTGCAATCAGTAAATGAGCAAAACGCAACTTCGGAGATTACTCAGTGATCTCCGAAGTCACTCAAAGTCATTTTCAAATCGTGTTGTACAATCCAAAGTCAACTGACAGGCCGCGAAGGCATCCGGGGGACCAAGGTTAGGGTTGTGTGAATATATTCCTTTTGACAGTAGT